CTTCCCTAATCCCAAATTTTCCACACCAGGAAAATTCCCTTTTCCACAGCAGGAAAAACCCCAAAATCTGAGCAAATCCCAACAAATCCCAACCTCCCACGCATCCCTGTGAGGGTAAAATGGGGATTTTCCTCATGGAATATCAAAAGTGGGGGAAAATACGGAAAATTAAATGGCATTGCTGGAGTGTTCCCAAGGCATGGAAGCAGATCCCGGGATTTCCGTCCTGCAGGGAAGGAAAACATCCCGATCCAAGCTCTGATCCAAGCTCTGATCCAAGCTTGGATCCCTCTGTTCTCCCAAAAATCCCCATCCCAGCGAGCTCAGGCTGGGATCCCCACGCTCCAGGCTCTCTGAGCAGCTTCTTCCATGGAAAATCAGCTTCTTCCATGGAAAATCAGTTTTGTTCCATGGAAAATCAGCTTTGTTCCATGGGAAATGAGCTTGGTTCCATGGAAAATGAACTGTGATCCATGGAAAATGAACTTGGTTCCATGGAAAATGAACTTGGTTCCATGGAAAATGAACTGTGATCCATGGAAAATGAACTGTGATCCATGGAAAATGAACTTGGTTCCATGGAAAGCTAATTAGGAGTTGAAGGGAGTGGCATGTCACACACACCTTGCACACACACCTGAGCATGTCACACACACCTGTGCACACACCTGTGTGTGTCACATTCACCTGTGCGTGTCACACACCTGTGCACACACACCTGTGTGTGTCACACACACCTGTGCGTGTCACACACACCTGTGCACACACACCTGAGCGTGTCACACACACCTGTGCATGTCACACACATCTGTGCACACACACCTGTGCACACACATCTGTGCACACACACCTGTGCACACACACCTGTGCACACACACCTGTGCACACACACCTGTGCATGTCACACACATCTGTGCACACACACCTGTGCACACACACCTGTGCATGTCACACACATCTGTGCACACACATCTGTGCACACACACCTGTGCACACACACCTGTGCACACACACCTGTGCACACACACCTGCGCCCCCAGGTGTGAGCACCCCGCGGGCACAATCCCACCTGCAATTCCAGGGATCTCGCTGGAGAGCTGGAGAGCCACCGAGGCGGAGTTCGGGAATTTGGGAGTTCGGGAATT